CAAAGGGAGAAAGCATAATTAAAGAAATAGAGGGGAAGAGAGAGAAAAAAAAATGGAAGAGAGAAATATTTCTATAAAACATATCTATAGATCTTGAGACTTTTTAAAATTTTTATTCCAGCCAAAAAAAAAAAAAAAAAAAAAAAACAATAATCCAATTCGAGTCCAGATCAGAGCTGGTATTAATATCGATCCTTCACGATGAAAACCATTTGTGTTGGACCGTCCGTTTCTGCACTGTTCCAATTATGACCAGAATAATATTTGAGTTTTTAAATGTGAAATATGTGAATTCTTTCAAATATGTGAATTCTGCCGCTGTCAGAGCAGGATTAAAAATCAAAATTATCAAAGTGGAGTTCACAGCACATGGACGAGAAATACTTCAATGATTTTTCGACATTCAATAAGTTATACAGAAAAAAATGTACGTATAAAAATGCATGGTTCAAAGTTCGTTTTCAATAAGTAAAATCCGAATTACGTATGGGAAGTCTCACAAGAAAAAAATCATTAGTGTTCATGCAAATTACGGATGCAAAACAAAAAAACACAAACAAAAAACAAACTAAAATCAGATGTATTTATGTAAATACATTTACGGGAGCAAGGAGAGAGGAGAAACTAGGAGACAGGAGCTAGGAGGTAGGAGTTAGGACAGAAGAGACAGGACAGGATCTAGGAGACAAGACTTAGGTGACAAGGAGAGCAACTAGGAGACAGGATGTAGGACAAAGGAGACAGGAGTTAGGAGAGAGAAGCTAGGACAACACCTAGGAGACAGGACCTAGTAGACAGGATCAAGGGGACAAGACCTAGGAGAGAGGAGCTTGGACAGAGGACACAGGATAGAGCAGCTAGGAGAAAGGATCTAGGAGACAGGACAGGAGCTAGGACAGAAGAGAAAGGAGATAGGAGAGTTAGGACAGAGGAGACAGGAGCTGAGAGACGGGACAGGACGTACAGGAGCAATAATCTAGGACAGAAGAATCAGGACACCGTCTAGGAGAGAGGACTTAAGAGAAAGGAGATAGGACACAGGACACAAGCTATAGGAGAGATGATCTAGGACAGATGATCTAGGAGAGAGGAGGAAGGAGCTAGGACACAGGACAGGAGTTGTAGGAGAGAAGACACAGGACAGGAGCTAGGACAGAGGAGCTAGGAAAGAGGAACAAGGAGCTAGAACACAGGACAGGAGCTGTAGGCGAGAAGAGAAAGGAGCTAGGAGACAGGACATAGGACAGGAGTTGTAGGAGAGAAGACACAGGACAGAAGCTAGGACAGAGGAGCTAGGAGAGAGGGGAAATGAGCTAGGAGACAGGATAGGACCTGTAGGAGAGAGGACTTAGGACAGGAGCTGTAGGAGAGAGGAGAAAGGGGCTAGGACACAAGACAGGAGCTAGGACAGAGGAGCTAGGCGAGAGGAGGAAGGAGCTAGGAGACAGGACATTAGATGTAGGAGAGAGGACAGGATCTGTAGGAGAGAGGAGACAGGAGACAGGACAGGAGCTAGGACAGAGGAAGAAGGAGCTAGGACACAGGACAGGAGCTAGGACAGAGGAGCTAGGAAAGAGGGGAAAGGAGCTAGGAGATAGGACAGGAGCTGTAGGAGAAAAAGGAAGGAACTAGGACACAGGACAGGAGCTAGGACAGAGGAGCTGGAGAGAGGAGAAAGGAGCTAGGACACAGACAGGAGCTGTAGGAGAGAGGAGAAAGGAGCTAGGAGATAGGACAGGAGCTGTAGGAGAGAGGAGAAAGGAGCTAGGAGATAGGACAGGAGCTGTAGGAGAGAGGAGAAAGGAGCTAGGACACTGGACATGAACTGTAGGAGAGAAGACACAGGACAGGAGCTAGGAGAGAGGAGAAAGGAGATAGGACAGGGGCTGTAGGAGAGAGGAGGAAGGAGCTAGGAGACAGGACAGGAGCTGTAGAAGAGAAGACACAGGACAGGAGCGGTAGGAGAGAGGAGAAACGGGCTAGGACACAGGACAGGAGCGAGGACAGAGGAGCTAGGTGAGAGGAGGAAGGAGCTAGGACACAGGGCAGGAGCTACAGGAAAAAGGAGAAAGGAGCTAGGACACAGGACATGAACTGTAGAAGAGAAGACACAGGACAGGAGCTAGGAGAGAGGAGAAAGGAAATAGGAGATAGGACAGGGGCTGTAGGAGAGAGGAGGAAGGAGCTAGGACACAGGACAGGAGCTGCAGGAGAGAGGAGAAAGGAAATAGGAGATAGGACAGGAACCGTAGGAAAGAGGAGAAAGGAGCTAGGACACAGGACATGAACTGTGGAAGAGAGGACTTAGGACAGGAGCCGCAGGAGAGAGGAGGAAGGAGCTAGGAGACAGGACATTAGATGTAGGAGAGAGGACAGGATCTGTAGGAGAGAGGAGACAGGAGACAGGACAGGAGCTAGGACAGAGGAAGAAGGAGCTAGGACACAGGACAGGAGCTAGGACAGAGGAGCTAGGAAAGAGGGGAAGGAGCTAGGAGATAGAAGGAGCTGTAGGAGAGAAAAGGAAGAACTAGGACACAGGACAGGAGCTAGGACAGAGAGAGAGGAGAAAGGAATAGGAGATAGGACAGGGGCTGTAGGAGAGAGGAGGAAGGAGCTAGGACACAGGACAGGAGCTGCAGGAGAGAGGAGAAAGGAAATAGGAGATAGGACAGGAACCGTAGGAAAGAGGAGAAAGGAGCTAGGACAGGACTGAACTGGGAAGAGAGGACTTAGGAAGGAGCCGCAGGAGAGAAGCTAGGACAGGAGCAGAGAGAGGAGAAAGGAGATAGGACAGGACGTAGGAGAAAGGAGCTAGGACAACATGAACTGTGGAAGAGAGATAGGACAGGAGGCAGGAGAGAGGAGGAGGAGCTAGGAGGAGATTAGATGTAGAGAGAGGACAGGATCTGTGGACAGGAGAGGGAGGAAGAAGGAGCTAGGACACAGGACAGGAGTAGGACAGAGGACTGGAAAGAGGGGAAAGGAGCTAGGAGATAGGATGAGCTGTAGGAGAGAAGGAGGAACTAGGAACAGGACAGGAGCTAGGACAGAGGAGAGAGGAGAAAGGAAATAGGAGATAGGACGAGAGGAGGAGAGGAAGGACAGGAGAGAGGGAGGAAATAGAGTAGGACGAACCGGAGGAAAGAGGAGAAAGAGCTAGGACACAGGACATGACTGTGGAAGAGAGACTTAGGACAGGAGCGCAGAGAGAGGGGAGGAGCTAGACCAGGACAGGAGCCGCAGGAGAGAGGAGAAAGGAAATAGGAGATAGGACAGGAACGTAGGAAAGAGGAGAAGGAGCTAGGACACAGGACATGAACTGTGGAAGGAGGCTAGGACGGAGCCGCAGGAGAGAGGAGGAAGGAGCTAGGAGACAGACATTAGATGTAGAGAGAGGAGATCTGTAGGAGAGAGGAGACAGACAGGACAGGATAGGACACAGGACAGGAGCTAGGACAGAGGAGCTAGGAAAGAGGGGAAAGGAGCTAGGAGAGGACAGGAGCTGTAGGAGAGAAAAGGAGGAACTAGGACACAGACAGGAGCTAGGACAAGGAGCTAGGAGAGAGGAGAAAGGAAATAGGAGATAGAGGGGCTGTAGGAGAGAGCGGAAGGAGCTGGGACAGGACAGGAGCTGCAGGAGAGAGGAGAAAGGAAATAGGAGATAGGAGGAACCGTAGGAAAGAGGAGAAGGAGCTAGGAGGACTGAACTGTGAAGAGAGACTAGGACAGGAGCCGCAGGAGAGAGGAGGAAGAGCTAGGACAGGACAGGGGCTGCAGGAAGAAAAGGAGGCTAGGACACAGGACGGGAGAGAGGAGAGGAAATAGGAGAGGAGCTGTAGGAGAGAGGAGGAAGGACAGGACAGGAAGGACAAGAAGGAGCTAGGACACAGGACATGACTGTGGGAGGAAGGACACAGAAGACTAGGAGAGAAGGACAGGCTGTAGGAGAGAGGAGAAGAGACAGGACAGGAGGGACAGAGGAAGAAGAGCTAGGAACACAGGACAGGAGCTAGGACAGAGGAGCTAGGAAAGAGGGGGAAAAGGAGCTAGGAGAGAGGACAGGAGCTGTAGGAGAGAAAAGGAAGGAAACTAGGACACAGGACAGGAGCTAGGACAGAGGAGCTAGGAGAGAGGAGAAAGGAGCTAGGACACAGGACAGGAGCTGTAGGAGAGAAGACAGAGGACAGGAGCTAGGACAGAGAAGGAAGGAGCAAGGAGACACGATGGGAGCTATAGGAGAAAAGAGAAAGGAGAGAAGACACAGGACAGGAGCTAGGACAGAGGAAATAGGAGAGAGGAAAGGAGCTAGGAGATAGGACAGGGCTGTAGGAGAGAGGGAGAAAGAGATAGGAGATAGGACAGGGGCTGTAGGAAGAGAGGAGGAAGAGCTAGGAGACAGGACACTGTAGAGAGAAGAACAGGACAGGAGCGGTAGGAGAGAGAGGACAGGTAGGACGAGGAGAGGAGGAGGAGCTAGGACACAGGACAGGAGCTACAGGAAAAAGGAGAAAGGAGCTAGGACACAGGAAGACTGTAGAGAGAAGACACAGACAGGAGCTGCAGGAGAGAGGAGAAAGGAAATAGGAGATAGGACAGGACGTAGGAAGAGGAGAAAGGAGCTAGACACAGGACATGAAGGAAGAGGAGGACAGGAGCTAGGAGAGAGGAGAAAGAAATAGGGATAGGACAGGCGTAGGAGAGAGAGGAAGGAGCTAGGACAAGGACAGGGCTGTAGGAGAAGAGGAGACTTAGGACAGGACAGGAGCCGCAGGAGAGAGGAGAAACGGGCTCAGGAGCTAGGACGGAGGATCTAGGAAAGAGCGGAAAGGGACTAGGACACAGGACAGGAGCCGTAGGAGAGAAGAGGAGAGGAGAGGAGAGGAGAGGAGGGAGGAGGGGGCAGAGGCAGATCCTGAGGTGCTCCGAGTGGGAGGATCTCTCATTCCTCTCCCCGACTCGCTCACAAGTCCAGCACTTCAGACACACACCAACACGGAGGGAGACACTACTACTGCTACTACTACTACTACTACTACTACTGCTACTACTACTGCTACTACTGCTACTTTTTCTCCTTGTACTACCTGCGTTTTTGCCCTGATGCCCGTTCTGCGGTAGGAGAAGAGGAGAAGAGCAGAGGAGCAGAGTTCGCTGTTTTGTAGGAACTTGCGAGGAATGGCAAACTCCGTAGTCTCCCTGGAAACGTCCCACTAGTGACAATGGCTGAGGTAAGTTTATTTAAGTCCATTTACCTTTCGTTTTGCAATTATTTTCAAGATTTTCAAAGATTTTCGAGAAGCACGCTTGATTTTTTTGGATGTTTTTTTTTTTAGAAAAGGTGTCGGTGCATTCTCGACTTGGGACTTGAAGTGTTAAGACTTGGTCACATTTTTTTTGTTTCAAGTTTTGAGATTTGCAGAAAAAAGTTGCGTTGGGTTTTCGTTTTAAATCACATCGATGCACTCGAACAAGTCTGTTTTGTCTTTTTTAACGATCAATTTTGTCTTTGTTTGCGTTTTGTAACAGTTTTTAGTTTTATCTCACACCTCTGCAAGGAAAAATCGAAAATTGTTAATTGAAATTCGATCGTTTGTCTCGTAAACGTGAGCAGGCTTTTTACAGAATTATAATATTTTACTCCCTAGCAACAGCTGAGAGGAAGCAGAGATTTCAGATTAAAAATAATTTCTACATTTTTATCATATTCCCTCTTATAAATATGAGGGGAAAAAAAGAGATTTCACATCTATACGAATTCAAATTTTCATAAGATCTTGAATATTTTGCATAAAAATAACAGAATTCTCTCAGTGTTGCAAAGTTTTATTTCAACAGAATTAAAAAATACTTTAACTAAAATATAAAACAACACTGAAAACATAACTCAGCTCTTTTCATTTCTTATTTTTGTTTATCAAATAGTGAAATAAGGATCATTTTTATATTTAATCTGCAAAACCTAAAATCTCAAAGAGCACAATTTAACATTTTTTGCTTCAGTAGTTGCAACTTTCACACATTTTTGCATCTAAAAATACAAAATTTAAAATGATAAAAACTGCAAGACGCTTTCCACTTTTAAATAACACCACAAAAAAACATAATATGACGTTTAGTTTAGTTAACAAATTGCGAATTTCGATATTAGATACAGATTCAGATTCACGTTTAGCACCAAAACTGTGATTTCTACAAAAAAAATCTTGTCGTTTTCAAGTGATTCTTTATGAAAACGTAAGTGTGTATGAAACAACGTGCACATAAATAAAAAGAGATACAGGCCTGTGTTTATTTCCATGTTTTGCGTGTGTGTAAATTGCGTGTTGCTTGTAACTTTTTATGTTTTTTGTCGTTATAGCTTGAGTTTTATCTGTCGTCTGTCAGATTAAGTAACAGCTAAACTCGACTTCTTGACAAAACTATCTCGATCTTGATAAGGTAATCCGGAGATAAACCTGCACTTACCAAACGCGGATTTCAAATGTCAAAATTAACGTCCGAAAAATTTCACAACACGTTTGCAAAATCGGGTATTTTTTACTCGTCGTATTTGCACGTTTACACTTCTTGCTTTGTTTTACTTTTGCTTTTTGTCTACATAACGTTTAAATTTCAATATTAAGATCCGTTTTGGCTTTTTGCACGAGCTTGTGTGTGTTTTTTTTTGTGTGTCTTACATTGTTTCCATCATTTTTAATCAGGATTTTTCAGTTTTATTGCGTTGTTGTTGTAAATGTGTAAAATGTGTGTACAGATGGAGCAGAATCGAATCATTGCTTTAATTATATTTCATTTTTTGTTTCTAAACTGTTTGCTTTGAGTGCCCCACACGTGAAGCAATTTCGAATTTCGATTTACAAATTTCGCTTTTGAAATTTCACTCAAAATTTCCCACACAAACGTAACCCGTCTCGAAAACATTCCCACTTTAATGAATGAGAATTTAAAAGGTTTTCTTCATTTTCTTACAGTTTTCAGTGTTGATTTTTCTACGCGAATTTCAGCAGATAAATATTTTTAAATGTGTGAATCTTCAGCTGGTTTTCGTTCTATCTTCCTTTCTTTTGACGATTTAAAGACGATGGACCAAAATGTGAAATCGCTGAACACTTTTAGCTCTATTTTTTGTTAGTTTAACCCAAAAAAGTGTTGAAAATCGTAATCGTAATCGTAAAATACTCTGGTCCAAACGCAGCGACAAAATACTGAAAGAAACGAATATTTGAAATTGCGAAAAGTGATCAAACTTTTATTCATAAAGCCAAAGGTCACACGTAAATTTTATAGATTGTGGATTTTTATTCTGTACTAAATGTAAATAAAATAACTCTCCATAAATCTGTAAAGTTAAAAAAAATATTTGAAAATTCACAGATTGAGAAACTGAGAATCTTGCATTTTGGTGAAATTTTGACACAAGACAAAAAATGTCTGAAAACGTAATTATTCTTCAACATATTTTCACAATTATTTTCATTCAGCTGACGTCGAAAGAAGCGCAAAAATTCTAAACTTGCAGCTCAAAAAAAACACTGAACACTGAAATCTGTGCTTTCAGTAAAATAACTCCAGTGTTAGAATTAGGAACAGCGCCCTCTTGTGGTCGTCCCCTGTGTGGTTTTGTGCTCAAAGTAAAAGCCCCATGACCTCATCAAACGGTGTCAATTACAAAAATAAACGCACACACACACACATTTACACACACACACACACACACATTTACACACACACACATCACTGACGGTGTGTGTATAAATGTGTGTGTGCGTGTGTGTAGAAAAGTAGAAAAGAGAAAAAGATGAGCAAGTCTTAAGAAATTCATTTATATTCATTATTATTATTATTATTATTATTATTATTATTATTATTATTATTATTATTATAAAAAATATTTAGTGGCAAATATTTCTGTATTATTATTTTTTTATGTTTTATTTAGTGGCAAATATTTTGGCATTATTATTATTATTATTATTATTATTATGTTTTATTTAGTGGCAAATATTTCTGTATTATTATTATTATTGTTATTATTATTATTATTATTATTTTAAATGTTTTATTTAGTGGCAAATATTTCCGCATTATTATTATTTGTTTAATTTATTTATTTTATTTTATTTATTTTTTGTGATTTTTTAAATTTTTTTATTATAAGTTATAGAATCAAAACACGGCTAGAAAAAACAAATGTTTACAGTGTTGGGCCTTGGCACGGACCTGACTTCTCGTATACGGCCTCAACGTGACTTCAGTCCTAAAATTCAAATATTTTTATCTATTTTGATTTAATTTCTTTGGTATTTTAAGTTCAGTTTGTCACACACACACACACATGCATTTAGAAATAGAAGATATTTTAATGTCAAAAGCTCAACATTTGGATTTAAAAAGTTTTAGTCTGGATATTTTTACTTCTTCTAATTTATTTTTTAACTACACTTTTATTGGCCTTAATAACCCGACTTATATTTACGTTTCTTTTTTTATTTAAGTGAATTAAAGCATAGAAATTATAAGTGGAAGCACAAATATTTTAAATGTGAGTAAGAGTTTGATTTTCCTGCGTTGTTTCAGTGTCAGTTTTATCCAGTTTTTTTTAGGCCCACTTCTTCTGCCGGCTTCATTAGCTTCATCATGTCTCCCTCACCAGAGACTTTTGCCCCAGGAGCCCCTTGGCCTTGAGCCGGTCCACCCCACCCTCCTCCTCCTCCTCCTCCTCCTGCTCTTCTTCCTCCTCCTGCTTCTACCCCTCCTCCTCCTCCCTCCTTATACCCTTCGTCTGATCTCTCTCTTCTTTCCCTCCTTAAACCAGCTCTGTCCCATCCTTAACTTCTACCCCACAAACGCTGAATTTGAGCACGGTTTTGACTCGACTTTTGCGATTTAACGTAAGATATAAGTTAGAATTTAACGTAATACACAAGTTAGAGCCTATTTGTGTTATTTTCAGTTCAGTTTATCTTTATTTCGACGGTCCTTGGTCCGTTTTGACAACACGAAACAATGCAAACCGTTCCAGTAAATCGTTACTTTTGACAGTACGTTCATTTAAAGATGCACTGTGGAACTTTCGCGTGTCTCCGTGGAGATGCTGTTGCTTTCCCAGTAATCCTCCGTGCTTAGAGCGTTATTTTTTGTCCCTTTTTGCTCAAAAATACCTTGAAACATCGTCGGTTTGAGCAGCAGCCTCGTCAAATTTAACGCCACACTGGAAAAAATCAATATCTATGTAAGTTAAAATGGCTTAAATTAAGAACGTTTTATTTGTTTTTGAGTCGATTCAACTCGACAAGTTAAATTATCCGCCAACGAAATAAGTGCGTTTGTCTTAATTCAAGCAACATTCGATTTTGTTTCTTATTTTAACTCAAAAAGTTGTTGTTTTTCATATTTTAAGTACTAAAAGTCTCATTCCGCTGGCAGATAATTTTACTTGTCAAGTGAAATTGACTCAAATCGTGATCAAACTTACTTAATTCAAGTCATCTTAACGTGACTAGATGAAACATAACATTACATAGTGCACATTTCATTTATTATTACGTTTTATTTATTCTCGTACTTTATCAGAATCGAAACTAGGAAGCAAAAAGCAATTCTTTCTCCTTTCTCTGTTTTCTTCTGTTTTATTTCGAACATGTGTCTTTAACATAATGCATCTTGGCACTGAAGGTGAAAAGTAGAACATAAAACACACAAAAAACTAAAAATATATATACATCCTAGTAAACGACTGTATATTATGAAGACAACTACCCAAACTTTTGTAGACTAGAAGACAAAATGACACGAGATCGTCAATGGAAAAGCTACTGAAATTGTTAAATCTGTTTTGTTCTGTTTGTTGTGATAAGTAAACTTCTAATTTAGTGATAATTATAAGACTCTAATACAGTTTTTATCGATATATCGTATTGCGTAATGTGATGATACGGTGTTGATATCGTGGGCTGCTGTAGCGATATATCGGCAAGAGCGTTTTTTGGTATATTTAAGTTAATAATTTTGTTACAGCGCTACAGTTTGTTGCTCGTTTAGAGGAAGGAAACTTATTTATGCGACACATTTGATGTTTTCACTGTTTCGATGATTAAATTGTTTGTGTTTCATATGAACTTTGGACAAGAAGTGGTTTAACAAAGACTTTTAGCATCACAGACATGATTAAGCCTTATCGAATCATTTTGAAATATATCGTATTGAATCGTAAGTGCACTGTGTCGAG